GAATCCAGCACCTAAACCTCATCCTACCCACTGGCCCTAAAAACATGTTTCTTCTTAATTGTTCTTACAGGTTTAATATGTGGTTTCAGGTGCTCATACACAGTGACGCCTTAGCTGCCATAACCAGTCAAATTGCCACGTTCACCGTGTTGAAAAATGATGGTTAGCTTCGTTTTGTTTGGTGCCGTGAGCACCCACCCCCTACTACCAACAGATGTCCACCACACAGTAGGAGAGGTCTGAGGAAGGGCCAGGTGGTGTCAGGGCAGAGTGGATTCACCCACAGAAGGGTCTCAGGGGAGGGCTCAGTCACACCCTCTGCACTGGAGCTCTGCCAGGGCACTAGGGGTTACCAGGGTCCCCATCCAAGGCCCACAGTGCCCCCTGCTGCCTGCACGACAAATGTCACGTCCCTGTGCCTACTTCAGACAGAATGCCCACTTAGGGCCCTGAAACAATCCAGATGTTTCCTGAGTGCTTTGCAGGCACCACCTCAGCCAGATGTTCCCAATCACCCCCAGCAGCCCTGAGGTTAAAGCAGGAAATCTCATTCCATCTATGCTCAGGGGCCCTCATGGGAGGTGACATGATTTCCCCAAAGACCCAGGCAGTAGTGGGAGGAGCCCAATGTCAGGAGCCTCAGCTCACAGCTGCCCTCAGCCTCCTTTCCTGCCTCCTGGCTCCTTCTTCTCCATCCCCCAGGCTCCTGGGCCATCTTGTCACTCCCTCTCTGCTGTGTCCTGGTGCTCTGTCCTCCTGAACTCTGTGGACAGACATGAGGACGCTCACTCTGCTCCCTCCAGGGCAGGAAACAGAGGAGGGTGTGTCAGTGGGGACACCAGGGAAATCAGAGGCCTGCACTGGCTCAGCCTTGCACGCTGTGATCTTGAATATTAAGGTCAGGATTCCATTTCTGTGAAATCAGAGAAAGAGAAAAGAGGTAAAGCACATGTAATAGTAAAACAGTTGGTTTATTGGCTACGAGCCCATGAATGATAACAAAGACCCTTCTAACTCGGACCCACTAATGCCAGGTGTAGCACGTAATCCCAGTTCTGCATTTCCTATACTCTTAATAACAAGGAAACTCATGGGTGCAGGGAAGAAAAATGGAAAAATAAGTATGTGTGCATATTTAATAATATATATAAGTATATATTTGCATACATATGTGATACATGCATGTAAATATAGATATAAACACACCCCAAACACACACACATACACACACACACACACACGCATTTGTTAAAATTATCCTCCTAGGGCTGTTACCAAAATGACTATACAGTGTCTTAACTTCCATTCATCTCAAGGTACTTTCTAATTTCCCTTTATTTCAGGGATTCATTTCTATGTAGGAATGTGTTTCTAACTTTGCAAACATTTTTAATATTATTGTGAATACTATGATGTGGTTTCTGTTACTGATTCCTAGTCCCATTGTCTGTGATTAGATAATGTACTTCATGTTATTACCATCATTAACAATATATGGATTCTTTGTAATGATTAGAAGAAGATCTATCCTGAGATTGCTGCAGGTGCTCCATGGAGGGAGGGGGCAGGACCCTTCTGAGTCTGCAGACCCCCCTCCTGCTCTCGGTCATGGCAGGAGGGCAGGGAGCTCTCCTCATGGGCTCCTTCATGGCCTGCAGCTCCACAGCGACTCCTCTCTGGGGGAAGCATTCTTGTTCTTCCAGGCTGTCCTCAGGTGAGTCTCCCGTCTGCTGGGAGTTGGAGCAAAGCCCTTCAGAGTGTGGTCCCGGGGCCCTAGAGCGGCAGACCCTGAGGCAATGAGACCCACACATCCCAGGTCAGACCCTGTCTCTGAGTGCCCTGGGGTCTGTGCTCCTTGAGGTGCAGATGCTCTGAGCTCAGCCCCAGGGAGTTCTCACTTCCTCTGAGCTGACAGCCGCCCTTGTGTCCCCAAGTCCTTTTCAAGCCACCTGGGTCTTCGTGCTTCAGTGTCCTGCCATACCCTTCTGTCCCAGGATCCTGCACTGGGAGGGCAGCTGAGTGAGCTCCTGGGAGGCCACTGACCTGCTAGAGAGGACATTAGAGAGGAGGTGATGAGTCTGAAGCCAAGGGGTTTATACCCTGTGGTCCCCACTCTGAGGCTCTGCCTGACCTGAAGTCAGGTTTCAGAAAGCCCTTCTTGGAATTCCTGTGGGGCTAAAGCTGTGGGCTGAGCCTCTCCATGGGGACTGGGGGCTGCCTGTGTTCAGTGAAGAGGGGAGCAGGGGAGGGTCCAAACGGGCGTCTGCCGGCAAGCCTAAGAGGAACATCTGTCTGGTGGTAATACTGTTGGCGTTCTCTACGGGACTTGGTCCTGTAGGAAGAAAAGTTAGAGAAAGGAGGAGACACAGGAGCAGAAATGCAGTGAACGCTGACAAGCCGCGGTGCTCAGTCATGCTGAGCTGCTTCATTTATGCATTTTACCAGGCGCAGTGAACTGTTCTGCAAGCTTTCAAGGATGTGGTTGAAGTTTTGCAGTGAGATAAGTGCTTTAGTGTACACATGGTCTTGTTACTATCATGTATGATCCTGTTACGAGTCAGAGGTCAAGCCAGATTACATATCTGTAAGTGTGCTGTTCCTCTGCAACTCCGAGGATGGCTGTCTGAGTATGTGTCAAAGACGATAATGTATAAGTCATAAATGTTATATAGAATACGCATCCCATGACCTAGCTAGGGTCACCATGTTTCCCGGGCAGCACGGATATTTCCAGAGCCCCTAGCATCTAAGGCATGTGTCAGTTAGTCTACGTGAACGATCAATAAGGCATGCTGATAACAGCTTCAGGTTGGCAGGCTGCATCCCCTCACAGGTCCATGCCCACAACTCTGCCTGCTGAGCTCACGGCTGCGCTGCCCTGGCCTATCATCTCCCAGGATGGAAGAGGCTCTGGGTCAGTCGCCCTTACTGAAGCAGGTTGGTTTCTGGGTGGTCCAGCATAACTCAGGAGGGCCTCGGCTAGAAGAAAATGACCAGTGAAGGGATAGGTCTTTGGGCCCCATTTCCAGCCCCACAGGGTTCCTGCAGACCCAGAAAGAGGCCTGTACCCTTCTTGCTGCAGCTTCATTGCCGGACCTTAAGAGGGTGACTCTGGGAGACTTTTCCTGGAATTGCTAATGACCACATCCCCCAGGTTGACCCACTGTCTGTGAGCTTCTTCCTGGAAGGACCTTTCTGAAGGCATTCAAGTGAGGATCCTCATACCCATAACTATCCTGGGACCGACCAGATTCCCATCCTGAGACCTCACTAAGGCTCTTTCTCAATGGTGTCTCCTTAGTGCTGAGAGACTTGGTCCGTGTGATTGCAGGGATTCTCTGGAGGGTCTGAAGGGCAGGTCACAGATGAAGTCACTGGAAACGACTAGGTCAGGGTGCACAGAGTGAGCTGAGCCTGGAGAGGTTCCGGAAGGAGCTGCCCATGTCTCAGGGGATCGAGGGCAGGGGAGGACCCGAGGCTCCCCCATGGGGAAGGTTCCCTCCTGTCAGTGTGACCAGGGTGGGAAGGAAGTCAGGGCCCTGTGATCTAGGTTCATGGCAGGTTTGTGTCTCACTTCCCCGTCTGCCTGTGTCACTGTGAGCAATGTCACTGCTATCCCACACCTGACAGTAGTAGTCGGCCTCGTCCTCAGCCTGGGCCCCGCTGATGGTCAGGGTGGCCGTGTTCCCTGAGTTGGAGCCTGAGAATCGGTCAGGGATCCCCGAGGGCCGATCGTCATCTTCATACATGACCAGTTTGGGGGCTTGGTCTGGCTTCTGCTGGTACCAGTGCACGTATTTACCTCCAATGCCATCTCCCCCACAGGATCCTGGCTGCCTGTCCCAGGGTCACCGACATCGAGGACTGCTGAGTCAGATCATATGAGGCCACGGAGCCTGCAAAGTGAGAAAAAATATGTGAACTTGAAGATGAAGAACTTTTTCCCCAATATCTCCTTGCCTGGCCTGGATCAGCCAACTGGGTTCTCTAGGCCCACAGATGACCGGACCCCCTTGTATCAATCTCAGCCCAGGATTCCCAGGGACTTGGCTGTTGGTTGAGCTGTTGGCAAATAAGATAAATGAATCTATTTCTCCTCACAGGTACAGCCTCTCAGGCTCTGCCCGGCCAATGAGCACAGTGTGAGGGGATCTCAGCCCACCCCACCCTGGTGCAGGTCTAGCAGCCCCCTCCCCACAGGCAGGGCCATATGAGCTCAGGGCCAGGCCAGGCTGCTCCCAGAGCCCTGGGGCTGGGCAGTGGCTGAGCCTGGGCAGCACCTGTGCAGTGAGCGAGGAGGCCCAGGAGGAGAGGCGTCCAGGCCATGGTGTCCCCAAGGCTGCTTCCTAGGCCCAGGCTGGGCTGCTTCCTCCCAGGCCTGTCTTATTCCCTGCTTGGAGAGAGCTGCCCCTTATGCAAATCAGCCAGAGCTCAGGGGCTGCTTGATGGACTTCATGGTCTCCAGAGAAGGGAGAACCCCAGAAATTCAGGAGGGTGGGGCTGCACACCCACCTCAACCCACAGGGGTCTCTCTCACCTCTGTGGCACGTCATGGCTGACGTATCCCAGCCTATGCATAGACATTGTTCCTGGGGGGCCACCCCGAGGATCCTGGCTGCCTGTCCCAGGGTCACCGACATCGAGGACTGCTGAGTCAGATCATATGAGGCCACGGAGCCTGCAAAGTGAGAAAAAATATGTGAACTTGAAGATGAAGAACTTTTTCCCCAATATCTCCTTGCCTGGCCTGGATCAGCCAACTGGGTTCTCTAGGCCCACAGATGACCGGACCCCCTTGTATCAATCTCAGCCCAGGATTCCCAGGGACTTGGCTGTTGGTTGAGCTGTTGGCAAATAAGATAAATGAATCTATTTCTCCTCACAGGTACAGCCTCTCAGGCTCTGCCCGGCCAATGAGCACAGTGTGAGGGGATCTCAGCCCACCCCACCCTGGTGCAGGTCTAGCAGCCCCCTCCCCACAGGCAGGGCCATATGAGCTCAGGGCCAGGCCAGGCTGCTCCCAGAGCCCTGGGGCTGGGCAGTGGCTGAGCCTGGGCAGCACCTGTGCAGTGAGCGAGGAGGCCCAGGAGGAGAGGCGTCCAGGCCATGGTGTCCCCGAGGCTGCTTCCTAGGCCCAGGCTGGGCTGCTTCCTCCCAGGCCTGTCTTATTCCCTGCTTGGAGAGAGCTGCCCCTTATGCAAATCAGCCAGAGCTCAGGGGCTGCTTGATGGACTTCATGGTCTCCAGAGAAGGGAGAACCCCAGAAATTCAGGAGGGTGGGGCTGCACACCCACCTCAACCCACAGGGGTCTCTCTCACCTCTGTGGCACGTCATGGCTGACGTATCCCAGCCTATGCATAGACATTGTTCCTGGGTGGCCACGCAGAACACAGAGGTGGTTCTCTGCATCCTCCAGGGAGCCTGAGTTCTGTCCTCAGGTTGGCGTGGGGTCTCCTTCTGGAGATGGACAGAGACACACAGCAGTGAGTGTGGGGCTAGGTCAGGAGAGAGGAGCTGATTTGGGTCTAGGAGCTGGGAGGTCTGTCCTGTGCTGGGGCAGAGTCCAGATCCCAGGTCTAGTGCTGGCTGTACATTCAGAGGACACCTTCGTGGCCCGATGCAGTGACCCTCTTCCTCCCTCTGTACAGGGGACAGCATGAGGCTTGGACAGGTGCAGGGACCTGCCCCAGATCCCAGCCACAGAGGGATAGAGCCCGGATGAAGTTCCTTCGTATCCACATGCGCATAGTGTGTTCAAGGATTGCTGAGATGAGGGAATGTTCTGCCCTTGGCCGTGAGCTCCTGGACAGGTCACAGGCCTGTGCCTCAGTCTCCCCAGTGTGGGCAAGGGCCAAGGACAGACTCGGGATGGAGACCTGTGTGCTGTACAGGAGAATGAGGGCGGGCTGCAGACTCTCCCAGAAACTGGTGTGAGTGTCTGGTAATTAAGTTACTTTGAGGTGCTGGGAAAGCGCATGAAGCAATGAAAACTTACTAACGTCACCCAAAGGAGACAGATAGGACTGTGGGCCTCATTTGCTGGGAAGTTGAAATGAGGAAACGGGGCAGCTGTCCTGGAGCATCAGGGAGTGAGGAGCGGCTGGGTGGGCAGGACAGGGCCTCTCATAGCATGGGGGAAGGGCAGGGACACGTGTGAGCACAGGGGGGGGAGGGAGGTCTCAGAGGGGCCTCAGAGGAGGCATCAGTCATGCCCCCTGCACTTGAGCTCTGCCAGGGACTAGCATGATCAGGAGCCCCAAACCAAGGCCCACTGTGCCCCCTGGTGCCCACGACATGAATGGCACGCTACCTGTCACTAGTTCAAGTAGAATGATCTATCTGGGGTCTTAATACAATCCAGAGAGGGTAGTGTTACACACTCCACTTCTGTCCATGTTATCTACCAACCCTCAGCAGCCCGGCACTTAAAGCACCATCTCTCCCCCCATCGATGACCGCAGAACCTTCTGGAAAGGGACATGATTTCCTCAAAGTTCCAGACAGCAGTGGGAAATGCCTGGGGCCCAAGAGACTCAGCTCAGAGCTGCCCTCAGCCACCCTGCCCTGTCTCCTGCTCCAGTCCCTCCTATTCCTCCCTCCCCCAGGCCTCCTGGGGCCTCTTGTCACACCCTCTCTGCTGTGTCCTGGTGCTCTGTCCTCTGAGTTCTGTGGAAAGAGATGAGGGACACGCCCTCCTGTCCCTCCAGGACAGATATCAGAGGAAGGTGTGTCAGTGGTGACCCTGGGGACATAAGAGACCTGGTGGGCTCCTCCTGACAGGCAGTGCCCTTAAATACTAAGGTCAATATCACACTTCTGAGAAATCGAGGATGTTTTTACTCAATGAAATAGAAACAAAGAGGAGATACCATAAAACGACCGTCACTTTATTGGCTAAAAGCCTGTGAATGATATTAACAAAGATCGTTCAGACTTGTTCCCCCAAATGCCAAGTGGAGGAGACAGTGCTAGTCCTCCACCCTTTAATTTAATAACAACAAAATCCGTACGTCCGGGGAAGAAAATTTCACAAATAGGTTAGGTGTCCATATTTAATCATGAAATACAGATATGTATTGTGAGTACATTGCTATACATGGGCACATATATGCACGTGTGCGTGCACACCCCAAACACACACGTTCATTCATTTACCATCGTCCTCACAGTGCTGTTACCAGAATCCCATTAAGCTGAGTGTACGGTGTCTTCATTTTTATTCAGTCTGCACGGCTTTCTAATTTCCACTTAATGTCCTCAGTGAGCCATTTCCTATGTAGGAATGAATTTGTAACTTTGCAAACATTTGTGAGCTTTATGAAGGGGTTTCTGTTAGTGATTCCGAAGTCCACTGTACTGTGTGTAGCTAATGTACTTGGTGTTATTTCCATCATTAGTAATATATTGATTCTCTGTCATGCGTAGAAGAAGATCTAGCCTGGAGAATGCCGCGGGTGCTCCCTGTGCAGAGGGGGCCAGACCCTCCTGTGTCTGCAGAGTCACCTCCTGCTCCCGGCCATGGCAGAAGGGCAGGGAGCTCTCCTGCATCAGCTCCTTCATGGCCTGCAGCTCCACAGCAACTCCCATGTGGGGGCGGCACCCTGGCTCCCCCAAGCTGTTTACAGTTGAGTCTCCCCTGGGCAGGGAGCAGGAGCCAGGCCTCAGGGCGATCCTGGCAAAAGTAACAGTACTATCCTCGCGTTGGAGATGGGTCACAGGCACAGGTTCTCCCAAAGCACCTGTCACCTGAGGGTCCAGACCAGCTCTGGGCAGGAACGACCCCACCTGAGCCTCAGCTGATTCCAGTATCCAGTCATCACCTCACAGTGGCTATCAAAGAACGAGGTACGTCAGTTAAACTTATGTAATGTATTTAACCCCATACGTCAAAACGCTTATCACTTACATACTTAATTGCAGAAAATTCATGGATGAGGTGTTTCCATACGAACCATGGCTGTAGTTATTATTACTTTGACTTGTTTGATG